CGGACTAAATTGGCGGGCGTCTGACATCTGACACGGAGGCGTGAAACCCGGAAGTTTGGGATATGACAATAAGGGTTACAGATTTGTGTTGTACACAATATGCCGTACCTTGTGCAGAAATTCTCAATTTTCCTTCTGCAGATGTTCTATCACTTCTTCCAGATGTTTGATCTTGCTCTTCACATGTTCATTTTCCATTTAGTTTGGAAAATATCTAACTCATGTGCAAGATGTACATTAATAGAGACTCTCAAACCTTCTCATATGTAATCACACTTCACAAGTTGCATTTTTTAAAATACATTTTACAATGCTTCCTTTTTAATGATGACATAGGTGTTTAAATAATACATATTAAGGTATAGACATAGTGTGTAATTTACCAAATGTAGACTGTATTGTTGCACAGTTGCTGAGTTGCTGAGATGATAGTTTAAGACATTAAACACATTGAGATTGAAAGTAAAATGTTTGATGCGTAGTAAAACAGTTTTCAATTGTATTATTTCGAGTCATTCATTTATGTATCAGTGCACAAGTCAGTGTAACTATGCAGAATACATTCTTTAAAAATGAAACACATCTTGGTACTAAGTTCATCAAAGACCACTGTAACGGAAACAAAGTATCCCAGTTATTTAGTTCAATCCACGCTGCATGAAATAAGAAATTATTATAGTACCAAGCAATTTATCTCTCACATATCATTATTGACTGGCTCCCCTGGAATTCAGCATTTTACTATTTTCTACCCATTCTACAAATAATGATATTGTAGCAGAGCCCTAGTCCTAGCAGGGACTCTCCTTTGGTGCTTTCTCCAACATACATTCAGGAACAAGTAGAATACTCCAAAGGAACAGCTAAGCACAGTAAAATAATCCCCGAATCTCCCACCTCCTCCCCAGCAACTGGATGACACTCAGCTCTGGGAGTATAACTGATTTTAATGGAGCCACACACAGCCTTTTATGAGAATCCTCATGCAAGGGGCTTTCAAATACACATTCCAGGGGAATTCCCCACTGGACCTGAGAGTAGTCTGAGACTAAATACACAACATAATTACATTACCTCTCAGGTCTAGGACATGTATAATCATAATCATACCAAAACATACAGTTCCCCATAAGATACTGTAACCGCTGGTGGTTCCCTTATTTACCACTATAACGTCTTAAAGCATATAACTTAGCAGGGCTAACCATACAGATATAATACAGATACAATATAAAATAACGATTGTCTTGGAAGCAATAAAGTTTTGTCTTTTTAGATATTTATTATATAAAAATATAAATATAGACATATAAAATCCATTACAATAATTTATAGCAGAGTTTATAAGATTAAATTACATGCTTGCAAATATCATTAATAGGTTAACATACCCTTCTGAACATGTCATCATGTCAGCCTCTCTGTCATTTTAAGATAGAGCAGCGTCTGTCTCCAAGTCTCTCCTCTGTCTTAACATTTAAAAGTACACCTATTTATACCTTTAGATGTCTTCATTTTAGGGTCACTGTAGTTCATATATGAAAAAGTAACACTTCTTTTATTTTATTTGTGGCGAAACCAACCTCGCCACTGTGAACTGGAGAAGCCTGGTTGCTCGCCTGCTCCCTTTGGACTATGGCCCTGCAGGTTAAACCGTTTATTTCCCCTGCAGAAAGGCTTATTTGTGTGATCTGAGTGCCATTCATCTAATAATGTGCACTCAGATCCCAGCTATCTGGGGATATGTGAAATGTCTGTGTGTTATGTGTAAATGTGACTTTATGTATTTTAAAGTGTTTTGTGTCTTTTTGCAACCATGTGCTTAATGGAGTCTTGTGTCTATCCTGGGAGATAATTGAATTACTCTCCAGGATAGAAGACTCTGAAACTGGTTTGGGCCAGAAAGCCATGCTTCATTTAGTCACAAAGGACTTTCCCTTAACTTTTGAACCCCTGGTCTGATTCGTGCCATTTTTTAATATGTTGTTCCCCTGAATGGATTGATTATGAAAATGTATGTTTTATGTTTGTGACATGTATATTTTAGAAGTTATAAATGTTGTGTAAAAACTGTATTCCTCTGCCGGTGATAATGAGGATTACCCATTGTGTTCAGTAATCATATCACCTGCAGAGGGGAGGATTTTGTGTGGGAGTGTCTGGGTGTATTGTACGGATTGATTGGTTGTTTTATAACGCCCTGTGGGCTGTACTATGTTTGTGGATTGGGAATAAAAGAGACTGTATGTGACAGTACAGGGAGTTCCTGATTTAACCCTCAAAGTGAAGTGTCGTCTCATTATTGGGGGAAGGATTCATTGTATGCTGTTCCAGTTTGACTGCTAGGAGAGTAAACCTATTCGTATGGTTCCTATTCAACTGTCTACAGCATTCATATGCTTGAGAGAAGGTATACGCTTCTCTGGTTCGGTGATTGTGGTGTCTGCTGCAGTGCTTGGAGTCCTCAGGAAGCGCTAGGAGCATCCTTCAACGGAGGTACCCAGTCGGGGTGCCAGGTCATCCGTTACATTATTCATTTTAGGACCTCCCTTAACTTGGCAAAAATACAAGTCCATAACTAAAGAGTGTATACGTCATGGACATTTTCCTGACTTAGTTCAAGATGGCATCTTACATAGAAACATAGAAACATAGAAACATAGAATGTGACGGCAGATAAGAACCATTCGGCCCATCTAGTCTGCCCAATTTTCTAAAAACTTTCATTAGTCCCTAGCCTTATCTTATAGTTAGGATAGCCTTATGCCTATCCATGCATGCTTAAACTCCTTTACTGTGTTAACCTCTACCACTTCAGCTGGAAGGCTATTCCATGCATCCACTACCCTCTCAGTAAAGTAATACTTCCTGATATTATTTTTAAACCTTTGTCCCTCTAATTTAAGACTATGTCCTCTTGTTGTGGTAGTTTTTCTTCTTTTAAATATAGTCTCCTCCTTTACTGTGTTGATTCCCTTTATATATTTAAATGTTTCTATCATATCCCCCCTGTCTCGTCTTTCCTCCAAGCTATACATGTTAAGATCCTTTAACCTTTCCTGGTAAGTTTTATCCCGCAATCCATGAACCAGTTTAGTAGCCCTTCTCTGAACCCTCTCTAAGGTATCAATATCCTTCTGAAGATACGGTCTCCAGTACTGTGTACAATACTCCAAGTGAGGTCTCACCAGTGTTCTGTATAATGGTATGAGCACTTCCCTCTTTCTACTGCTAATACCTCTCCCTATACAACCAAGCATTCTGCTAGCATTTCCTGCTGCTCTATTACATTGTCTGCCTACCTTTAAGTCATCAGAAATAATCACCCCTAAATCCCTTTCCTCAGATGTTGAGGTTAGGACTCTATCAAATATTCTGTACTCTGCCCTTGGGTTTTTACGTCCAAGATGCATTATCTTGCACTTATCCACATTAAATGTCAGTTGCCACAATTCTGACCATTTTTCTAGTTTACCTAAATCATTTGTCATTTGGCTTATCCCTCCTGGAACATCAACCCTGTTACATATCTTAGTATCATCAGCAAAAGACATACCTTACCATCAAGACCTTCTGCAATATCACTAATAAAAATATTAAAGAGAATGGGTCCAAGTACAGATCCCTGAGGTACCCCACTGGTGACAAGTCCAAGCTTTGAATATATTCCATTAACTACAACCCTCTGTTGCCTGTCACTCAGCCACTGTCTTACCCATTCAACAATATTGGAATCCAAACTTAAAGATTGCAGTTTATTGATAAGTCTTCTATGTGCAACAGTGTCAAAAGCCTTACTGAAATCTAGGTAAGCAATGTCTACTGCATCACCCTGATCTATAATTTTAGTTACCCAATCAAAAAAATCAATAAGATTAGTTTGGCATGATCTCCCTGAAGTAAACCCATGTTGTCTCTGATCTTGAAATACAGTCTGAACATCTTTATCTACTTAGGGTTACCACAGTATATTGTGTACTGAAAGAGTCGTAGCATAGCCTTGAAGCTTGTTTATGGATTATTGTTATTGTAATTCGTCTGGGACAAAATGGCGCAAACATATTATGCACTGAGGTTATAGCTTAAAGGACCACTATAGTGCCAGGAAAACATACTCGTTTTCCTGGCACTATAGTGCCCTGAGGGTGCCCCCACCCTCAGGGACCCCCTCCCGCCCGGCTCTGGAAAGGGGAAAAGGGTTAAAACTTACCTTTTTCCAGCGCTGGGCGGAGAGCTCTCCTCCTTCTCTCCTCCTCCGTTCCTCCTCCTGGGCTGAATGCGCACGCGCGGCAAGAGCTGCGCGCGCATTCAGCCCGTCGCATAGGAAAGCATTTACAATGCTTTCCTATGGACGCTTGCGTGCTCTCACCGTGAAAATCACAGTGAGAAGCACGCAAGCGCCTCTAGTGGCTGTCAATGAGACAGCCACTAGAGGAATTGGAGGAAGGCTTAACCCATTAATAAACATAGCAGTTTCTCTGAAACTGCTATGTTTATTAAAAAATGGGTTAACCCTAGCTGGACCAGGCACCCAGACCACTTCATTAAGCTGAAGTGGTCTGGGTGCCTAGAGTGGTCCTTTAAAGAAACAGTTATGAAAACAATATGTCCCATTTCTAATACCTTGTCAGTTTGCAATATCTCTTAAAGACAAAGTACACAGTTTAAGAAATACAACATTTCATTCTAAAACTTGTAATATTTACATTTGCCCATATCACCCTCTCCATTAAACTGTGGGCATTGTAGAGCATTTCTTCCTTAAATTAGTAAACCAAAGTTCTCCAACAGTCATTCGTTTTTTATGCTCCCAGCATCTTTGATCATTGTTGTAACAGTAAAACATCCGTAGTGTGATCTTTGCCTGTAAAGGTGGTTGATTAAAATGAGCAAAGCTTTTGTCTGGGAAAGAACATCAGGTTTCAGAGTAAGATATTCTTGGATGGATCCGGATACGAATTGTAATCCGAAGTTAAAAGTAGTAATTGTATTAGTAATCCAAAGTCTTCAAAGGCCTGTAGAAGTTTACATTCCTTAGATACATTGCTGGAGGTTGTGTTTGTAGAATACCCGGGTATTTGTTGTAGAGTTTAGGTTGTAGAGTCCAGCTTTCCAAATATTTGGCTAGAATTGGTTGTAGATATTGAATCAGCATTATCTGTTATCACCGTGGTGATGGTGTTGGTATTTGTCTTTGTTTGTTTGTTGTGTTTTTTCCATGAAACATTTTTACACATTTATGATGTGTTTAGATTGGATACTCTCCGATATTCTTTTACGGAATCAACTAATTGACAGCATTTCCAAGACCTTGTCGTAAGTAACATGGATCCCATTATAGTAAATGTTATGTTGATACAGCAATCGAAGTGGATTCTCAAGAACGCCTCTTTTTGCGGTAATGGAATCTTTGTAACACCTCTACATCTCAATGACATATAACGCCATCAGCTGCTGTTGTGCTAAAAATGTTAACAGGTAAAATCTGTGGAAAAATCTTTACATTTGTTATACTTTGTATAATAATGATAGATGAAATAGTAACATAGTTAATTTTTCTAGTGTTTTGTTTTAAAGATAAACACCCTTGTATAGGATTTAGATATATAAGAATAATTTGAAGCAGCAAAGTATTTACCACCTTTGTTCACAGTGGTATGTAAAATTACATTCTCTTAAAATGTTAAAAATACTCCTTTATTCAAAATCTCTCAATATATTTAGAATAGTTGCTAATTGGAAATATGACATTATTCATCTTTCTTTGACCTGTTAGGGAGAAGACAACTTATTCCCTAAGTTATAATTAGTAAATATAATAACTACAGTTATTAGTGGCTTAAAATACCAGAAACACCCAAAAATTGTCTTAAAGACATTTTTTTACCAAGATCTGACAGCCATTGTGGAAAGTTACGTTCGTGAGATTGGATGCTTAACAATGTGAATCTTAATTGTTTAAATATATTTACCAGCGGCTGTTGGGTGTAGCTTAAGATGATTTGGATTTTTTATTTCTAAAGGTGAGTTAAGAAAGCACTCAGATACAATATTGAAGGTATTTATATTTTAACTCTACCTTTGTATAAGTGGTTTTAACACTTCCATAACAATAGATATCAGAATCTGTTGTAACTATAACTGGTTGAAGTCGGGGTATGTTACAATCAGATATGAATTAATAATCATATGCATGATGTACTGATTAAAAAATCAATAGATGTGTCAGGATCATTACCACAAGGTATATGTACCTTTAATCATCACAAACCAAATTTAATTTTCTTGATATTTGAAAAACTGATAAAATATTTGATTACGTGTATTTTAATATATATACATAGAGTGGTATGGATGTTGAATTTATATCTTTGACATCGTTTCACCAGTTTGCAATAAGTGACCTAAATGATCAATTTCCAAAATCATCATGTATATCACCTGGAAGGGTTAATTCATAATACTCTTTTACCTTCTATTGACTGACCTTAGCTCTGGCAGACTGAACATGTTTATCATTATAAATAAAGGTTTGTGGTAAGTGAAGTAAAGTTTCTGCTAGAGTTGAGCGAACCCGCACTGTAAAGTTTGGGTTCGTATCAAACATTACGGTTTTTGGACCCCGGACCCGAACACGGACATTTCAGTGTATGTTCAGGTTGGAGTTTGGTGTTCCGCGATTTAATGGCACGTTTTGAAAGGCTGCAGGGCAGCCAATCAACAAGCAGCGTTTGACTCGTGTGCCCTTAGAAGCCAACACAGCCATGCCTACTAATGGCATGTCTGTGATTGGCCAGTGCAGCACGTGACCCAGCCTCTATATATAAGCTGGAGTCACGTAACGCTGCACGTCACATGAGCTCTTATTAGTGTAGGGACAGGATGCTGCAGCTGTGAGGGACAGATTAGGAAAGAATTCTAAGGTTGAATCTGCAAACTACAGTGATTATTTTTGTGGGTGCTATACTACATTTTTGTACCCTGCCCTGAGCCCAGTGCCACAGAGAGTGCAGTGCACTAGCAACTGCATGTGTGCCAGGCACATTACTTGGTAAGCTCAGTGGGCAACATCTAGGCATTTTTAAATACTGCAATTTTTTTGGTGCTAAATAGTACATTTGCGTACTACATTTCTTGCAGTTCAATAAAACCCTTAAATACTACTGTTACATTGTTGGTTTAAAAAAAAAACACACTTTTTTTGTGCTAAGTAGTACATTTGTGGCCTGTGGTGCATTTCTTGCTGTCCAATAAAACCCTTAAATACTTCTGTTACATTGTTGGTTTCAAAAACAAAAAACACTTTTTTGTGCTAAATAGTACATTTGCGGCCTGCGGTGCACTTCATATCTGAGAGTCATATAGAACCGTCAAATACTGTGGTTACATCACAGTTTTAAACATTCAAATTTTTTGTGTGCTAAATAGTACATTTGGGGTCTGCACTTCCTATCTGAGAGTCAAATAGAACCGTAAAATACTGCTATGACCCAGCAGTTTAATTTTTACATCGCAGTTTTAAACATTGAAATATTTTTGGTGCTAAATTGTACATTTGGAGCCTGCACTCCATATCTGAGAGTCAAATAGAATCATCAAATACTGCGGTTACATCGCAGTTTTAAACATTCAAATTGTTTTGGTGCTAAATAGCACATTTGGTGTGTGCACTCCATATCTGAGAGTCAAATAGAACCGTCAAATACTGCTATGACCCAGCAGTTTAATTTTTATTTATTTTTGCTAAATAGTACATTTGGTGTATGCACTTCATGTATGTACGTAGTGGGGAATTACGATACCACATAACATAGATAACCCCAATAAAAAAAAAAAAAAACATTAACGACAGACAACTTAGTATGGATGAACAGGCCACAGCATTTATTATAACATAAATAAATTACTGCATAACACATCCATAACTTTATTTATTAAACTCTTCTTTCTGTTAGAAATAAATAATCATAAATTAACATATATACATATAATAACAAAACGTGCTATGCAGAGACCCAACCGTCCTTGCCAATAAACATCCAGTGGTTCCTAATTACCACTTCCTCTCACCTCCCCCGTCGTCATAAAAAATCCTTCCAATGCCCGCCATCAGCCGACCTTATCCACGCTCGATGGGCAAGATACCTCAGGCAACCTAATGTTTAACCTTTGAAGCAGGGGAGGTTGAGACCTGCAAAACATAAAAACTTAGTCCATCCATAGACATAACCCCTCAAACTTGATTGGCAAGGACATACCCCCGGCTAGCTGTGACTAACTGAAACTAAAGGGGTGGGCGGGGGGGAAGCTGTTTGCTGGCCTGTATCCCAAGTGGCACTGAGGTAAGACCCACACTAACTTACATTAAGCCTAACCCCTCCCATGCACACTTCCCAAGTCCCTCCCCTGCATCTATCCCCACACTCCTACATGTGCCCTTGTCCGCTTAGCTGCGCTATCTCCCCAGGGCCTTATTGGAGAGTCAAACATAAACGTCAAATACTGTGGTTACATCGCAGTTTTAAACATTGAAATTTCTTAGGTGCTAAATAGTACATTTGGTGTGTGCACTTCATATCTGAGAGTGAAATAGAACCATCATATACTGTGGTTACATCGCACTTTTAAAAATTCTAATTTTTTTGGGTGCTAAATAATACATTTGCGGCCTGCGGTGCATTTCTTGCGGTCCAATAAAATAAAAAATTTTTAAAAATTAAAAAAAATTGTTGACTATTGGCGGTTACATTGTCGCCTGACATAAACCCTCTGTTAGTTTGGTGGGCGAACGCAAAGAATGAGGAGCGTCAAATAAGGGACGTGGTCCTGGTCGTGGTGCTGCTGGTGTTGGTGGAGCTCCTGTTGCAAGGAGAGGACCTGGTCGATCTGTGCCAGCTACACGCACAAGTGAAACACCTTCCTCATGTGAGAGTACGCGACAGAACCTTCAGCGTTATTTGGTAGGCCCGAATGCCCCTCTACAAATGGTGAGGCCAGAACAAGTACAGGCGATAATAGATTGGATGGCTGAGAGTGCCTCCAGTTCCTTCACATTGTCTCTGCTAAAAGCTCAGAGTTGGCACCTGCAGCCCCTAGCCATCTGTCTTTCACCTCACCCCCTTGCAAATCAGCCAAGCAGTCTGAGCCACAAGTCATGCAGCAGTCTCTTATGCTTTTTGATGACTCTGCTGGCGGGGTTTCCGTGGGCCATCCACCTGCCCCCGAAGTGGAAGAGATTGAGTGCACTGATACACAACCACTTATGTGTCAGGATGTGGACATGCGAGGACCACCGCAGCACGTCTCTGATGACGACGAAACACAGGTGCCAACTGCTGTGGCTTTCTGCAGTGTGCAGACCGGCAAGGAGGGCAGGGTTGAGGAGTGGGTGGAAGATGATGTGGAGGATGATGAGGTCCTAGACCCCACATGGAATCAAGGTCATGCGAGTGAGGTGTGCAGTTTGGAGGAAGAGGCGGTGGTCGCACAGAGGCACCAGCACAGCATAAGAGGGAGCAGGGTGCAAAAGCGGAGCGGCCATCCCCTAGACAGTACGCCTGCTACTGCCCACCGCACCCGGGGACTGAGCACACCAAAGCCAGCTCCAAGGAGTTCCCTGGCATGGCAGTTCTTCAGACAATGTGCTGACGACAAGACACGAGTGGTTTGCACGCTGTGCAATCAGAGCCTGAAGCGAGGCATAAACGTGCTCAACCTGCATGACCAGGCATCTACATGCAAAGCACGAGCTGCAGTGGAGTAAGCACCTCAAAACCCAAAAAAGGTCTCAGGCTCCTCCTGCTTCCTCTTCTGCTGCTGCCTCTGCCTCTGCCTCCACCTCTGGAGTAACAGTGGCACCTGCCACCCCGCAAACAGAGGAGGTGGCAGCACCTCCACCACGTCCGCCACCGTCCCCATGCATCTCCACACTGTACCATGGAAGCGTTCAGCTGTTCGTCTCCCAAACACTGGAGAGAAAGAGGAAGTACCCCCCTAGCCACCCACGATCCCTGGCCCTGAATGCCAGCATCTCAAAATTTGTGACCTTTGAAATGCTTTCATTCCGTCTGGTGGAGACGGAAAGTTTTAAAAACCTGATTGCGGTGGCTGTCCCACAGTACGTGGTTCCCAGCCGCCACTACT